CTCGTCGACTAGCTGCGCCAGACTGCTGCTCAGTGAATATTTACCCTGTCGTCTGTCATCGGACTGAATACTGATCTGAGGATTAACCCGCGGTAGATAACTACCTGCGTGCCCCACATTGCATGCGACCACACACTCACCATCGATTACTGGAGGGGTGAGATCTTCAAAGTCTGGATCAGGGGTGAGATCTTCAAAGTCTGGATCAGGGGTGAGATCTTCAAAGTCTGGATCAGGGGTGAGATCTTTGCAGATTGGATTGGAAGTGAGATTTTTAAAGACTAAATTGGGAGCGAGATCTTTGCAGATTGGATTGGGAGTGAGATCTTTGCAGATTGGATTGGGAGTGAGATCTTTAAAGACTAAATTGGGAGTGAGATCTTTGCAGATTGGATTGGGAGTGAGATCCTTGCTGATTGGATTGGGAGTGAGATCCTTGCTGATTGGATTGGGAGTGAGATCTTCGGCGAACATTATGCGAGCAGTAGAAACTTGTTGGAGCCTCGTTCTACTGGGTTCACGGTGAAGATTTTCACGATCGTTACTGTGTGCCGCAGCGCCACCGACAGCAACAAGCAGATTGCACTCACTCTCCCATTTCGATAAGGAGAAGTTGAGCTCTTCACACCCAACTTCAGCCTCTTCGCTGCAGTCTGTCACACTGTTACTCTCATCTATGTCACCCACCAAGTGTTCTACTTCATCCATTAACTGGGCAGACTGCCTGTCCATCTCGTCACCAACTTGTCGTGTGATTTCCATCGAGTGATTGCCGTGATCCGTGTGGCCCGACGGGTCTCTGCCGCTCACCATATGGTTGCCGTTTCCAAGGTCACCCTCCACGTAGTCACGCTGACTCGACTGCTCTCTATAGTCCTCCGTGTTCTCACGCTCATCTATATCATCTAGAAAATCATCTCTGACGTCGACGTCGATGTATTTCGCGGCTCTCAGCCGACGGCTGCAGCGGCCGTCCTGCTGGCGTTCGCTGCTGTAGCGCCCGACCCACTCATCCACCATCGAAGCACCTGCATCAGAGACGATGCCGCTCTCTGCGTCCTCCGACGAGAGGCTGCGAATGGTACTGATGCTAGGCCACGAGGCCAGCGACCGCCGTTGCCGTGACGACGTAGCATCCCATGCCTGCTCCCCGGACGACGACTGCCAGGAGCGCAGCGACGAGAACGCAGAATCGATCGACCTTGACGAAGCCATCGAAGAGGCCTCAGAACGCGGGGACGCCTCTGCGACGACCGCATCTGGTACGGACGTCAGCGACGATGACAGTGACCATGACGACAGTGACCATGGCGATGGCGACGACGACAGCGAGAATGCATCGTCCGCCCAATTGCACAGTGACTCGCTGGCGTTGCTCAGCGACCGCTCTGGTGGCGCCCCCTCGTGGTCATACAGTGTCTCCGGCAGCGTCGCGAGGTAAGAATCGAAGTGGTCTGACGGATATGACGGGAAAGACTGAAATGGTGTCCCTTGCGCACCACAGCTATCAACGATGGCAGCCCGCAGCCTCCTAACCGCCTCCTTCTCCTCCTCCTGCTCCTCCCCCTCCTCAAAGTAGCCGATCGAGTTTCTTCCTCTCACGCTCGTGAGCATCGCTTCTTCCTCCTCATAGTGGCCGACCGATCCTCCTCCTTCCATGCTCGCGAGCCTCTCTTCCTCCTCCTCTTCCCCCTCCTCTTCCTCCTCCTCCTCCTTCTCTTCTTCCTCCTCCTCCAGCTGCTGTTGTATGGAGCGCAGGCAGGCGGGTGTGTCGCGACCCTCGCCGCGCGCTGTGTTGCTGAAGCGCAGCGGTGGCGCGAGGAGCACCTCTGCGGTCGCGACCGCGCGGTAATCGGTCACGCGGCAGCCGCCGTCGCGGCTTGCGATCTCCTCGACGGTGTATCCGCGCCAGAGGGCGCCGCGCAGCGTCGAGCCGAGGCGATCGGCGGCGGCTTCGAGCGGAGAAAAACAAGAAGGCGCGGTCGCGTCAGCGAGACGAGCCGTGTAACCCGCGTTACGCAGCGCGGCGCGAGAGCGAGAGAGAGAGAGAGAGAGAGTGAGAGTGAAAAAGAGAGAGAGAGAGTGGAGCATGCGATGCCGAGGGAGGCGGTGGCGCCCCCACCCGACACGTTGCTGAGTGTGCCGAGAGAACATTCGCTAGCTAGCATAACACGTGAGCATCCAACAGGGCGAGGCAGATACGAGATTGAGGTGAGAGAATCACGAGTTCAGACGGAAGAAAGGAGGAGAAGAGAGAAAGAGAGAGGATAATCTAATGCGTGGCGATCTGTGTCAGATGCGAGAAAATGTGCGTAAATATATGCATGTCGTTCGTTGTAGCCACACCCCTAACGCACTGTCCCGTTATAGGCAAGTCAAAATTATGTCGCGGATAGATAGAGCGAGCGTACACACAGATAAACATAGACATGTGTAGACATGCCACAGCTATCAGTCGTAATTATCGCCGATGAAACCAAAAGTGCGCATGCATGCCTAAACTCGCCACTCACCATGCGATGTGCTCACTATAGGCTAGTCCAACATATTATACACCTCAGAACAGAAGCACTGAAACTATTCGTGTTCACGGCTAAAATATCGCGTCACATGAACCCGATATTAACGTTCCACCTATAATAGACTCGCACAGAACGGAGAATAAAACGCAGTATGGGGATGCAACGACGTTGTTCACCAACTGATCTTAACATTAAAAAGTAATTAACGACACTATAGCAAACGCGGCGAAAGTGGGACAGTTTAACAAACAAGAAACGATCACATCAGGTTCCGAACGAGATCGCTCGTAGAGAAGTAAAAATGCGAACGACGAAGAAGAGAAGGTACAGAGACGTGTATGGCCAACGTTCACCTAGTTCTTAACGTGCTAAACAGTGCGCACAATCATTACCCCTGATACGCACAAACGAAAATACACGCACCACATATATCACCGAATCCAAGCTTAGCCAAACGGAAACGCACTCATCGGTGGAGGTTAGTTAATTCAGGATTCAAGGTAACCATGGCCATTACCTCCTTCAGGGCAAGTCCTGCTTAGTGAGTTTAGTTTCCACTTGCATTCGCGGGGTTGCGATATGGGCCAATGCACAAGGGTAAAGAATACTGTGATGGCAGATGAGAAGGCAGGTGTGAGGGATGCTGTGATGGCAGGTGTGAAGGCAGGTGTGAGGGATGCTGTGATGGCAGGTGTGAGGGATGCTGTGATGGCAGGTGTGAGGGCAGGTGTGAGGGATGCTGTGATGGCAGGTGTGAGGGATGCTGTGATGCCAGGTGTGAGGGCAGGTG